GCGGGGAGAGGACATTGTGGGCGGCGGGGGGGCCGAGCCGGGGAGGCCAACAAAAGCCCCGGGATCTATTATTTAGGGTGGGGATCAATTATTGAAAGAAAGGAGGGGGTGGGGGAAGAGGAAAGGGGACAAGGGGAGGAGAGAAGAGAAGAGGCTGGCGTGCAAGCTGAGCCCCCAGATTGTGAAGGAAGGAGGGGAAAGAAAACGGGGGGGGGGAGTTCCAAAGGCGATCTGGGAGGCTGAGCCCGCCCCACCCTGGAAAAAAAGGGGGGAAACAAACCAGGGAGGTAGGATGCTCCCGTTCTCACGTGCACGCAAGATGCGGGTCGGGTTCTGCGGAGGACTGTTCTCTCCTTCCGACCCCCCCTCCTCTCCGCAGCGTCCGCGCGCTCCTCTGATCCCTGGAGATGTCGGATGGACGTCACGTGATGACGTCACGTCCGACACCCAGGGAGCAGTGCGGGGCAGGAAGAAGTCGGGCCAGGTCCCGGAAGGTAAGCAAAAAATTTTTTTTGCTAACTTGAGCCATTTTTAAATGAATTTACTCCATGCAGGCACGGAGTAAATTCATTGGAAAAAAAAAAGGGGGAGGCTGCAAGGCTGGCGGCTGCTCCGCGGGCCATCAGACAAGGTCTGGCGGGCCGGATTTGGCCCGCAGGCCTTGTGTTTGACACCCCTGCCCTAGACGAAGAACAACAATTGAGAAGATTTCCTACCACATTAATATATTACATACCACCTCTTTGCCCAATCTTAAGTCATGGGCAGCCTTGTATAAGAAGAGACACTCTTCTGTTCAATTTGTGGTTCATGAAAACATTTGTGGAAGAATACTGAAGGGAAAACAAGGCTGTGGAATCAAATCCTTCTGTATGTTACATTTAATCCCTGCTTTCAAACAGAAATTGCCGAAAGTCTTCTTTGGCAGAGAAACACTGCTGTGCACCCTAGTCACAAATCAGTGTAGAGCATACATGCACACGCTTAGGGCCATTGAAAAACCAAAATTGTACTCCTACCAATTCTCCCCGTGTGACACAGAGCCCAGAAAAGACTATTTTGACCCTTAAGGTAAACAGGAAATGCCTGGAACATCACTTTCTTCTTTTACATGTTTGTGGTGGGGAGGCTCCTAAGGAATTTTTTGAGACCACTGCCACAATTAATATTAATGGTATTAATATAGACTAATAATTAATAGTAACGATAAATAATATTTTCCAGAGAGGCTCATTGTATGCAATAAAACATATTTCCTACTGTTAGTGAGCTAATTAACATCTGTTGAGAGCAAAACAGGGATGTACAAGTCTTCATAAGCAAATGTTCATGCCCAGCTAATTAACATTACTGTGAGCCACACCAAGCCCAGAATTAGCTCGAAGTGGTAAAGCAAACAAAACAAACAAATTCAGAAGTGACCAGAAATCAGTTTCCTTTTTAAAATTTTGTTTAAAGGCAGGAGATTCAGTTTAGGAGGGAAGTGGCTCCTCAGTGCAAGAACCCACAGCTCCTGGAGGCCTCCATGGGTTAAAAAACACACAACCATGTTTATTGGAAGATGCTGGCTAACTTGTCATTACTTTTTTTAAAAAGTCTCTGTTCTTTGTATTGTGTAGAAGTTGTGAGTAGTGCCTTGGCACTAGATGGTATCAATGCAATGAATTAAACAAACAAACAAACAAAGAGGTTGACATGTATCTGAGCAGGACACATGATCATAGAAAGCTTACTGATTGAATGAAGCATTAACTGCCAAACCCTAAAAGAAAAACAAAAAACCCCCACAACAATAGACATGAAAGGACTTCAACAGGACCTGGGAACCTGAAGTGCATTTTGACCATCACCCCACTTTTTATTGATTCAGGCCATTCAGTACAACATTCTCTGCTTTGTCAAACCTTTAGCCATTGTTTAAACTTCATATTTTCATCTAAGCTTTGGGCAGCTGTATCTGATCAATGTTTCAGCCCGGTTCAACAGGTAACAGAATATTAGTAATTTTAGCTGTGTGGAATTGCTCACTCAGTACATGTGGTGCTGTGGATGATTACAACCCTTAGCCACAGGACAGAAAAAGAAGAGATGGGTAACTGCAATCAGAGAACAAAGGACAATTCCAGTCATGCTTCACTACAACTTGGGAAGACCGGGGTGGGGTGGGGGAAGAAACCCATATGCTATGTTCAAAGCATCCTGCAGATTCCATATTTGAAAAGGCTCCTACTGAATCATATTGCCATTTCCACTAATATCCTGAGTAAATCACAAATGTAAACCAAACATGTTCCTGAATAGGTTTCCACAGCCATTTGGCAAGTACTGGCTCATACTGTCTCTGACCCACTTTTCTGAGTGTTGCATTTGCTCTCTGTTGATTCACTGTGGCTCAGTGAGAATGTTCCAAACTAGAGTTTCCTGGACTGCTTAATCTTTCCTTTTTTGGGAGGGGTTGGAATCTTGAAATACAAGATGCTGTCTTCTGAATGAAACGGGAATTAAAAATGAAACACAATACAATCTTGCCAAAAACAATAAAACAAACAAAGGACAGCCAAAGGCATAGCTCAAAAGGTGAAGACTAAAGTATCAAAAGCATCACATACCTCCTTTGACCTGAAAATTAGCATGGCTCATCCTCAAACCTAAATAATCAAATCAATCTGTCAAGCCTTTTTGTGTAAATGTTACATAACATCAATGGGCAATTTTCAGTTTTTCCAGGAGCTGCTTTGGATTCCTGCAGCCTTCTGTAGACTGAACCATCGGTGCGGACACTGCAGTTCAGTCATTGCTACCAAGCTTCCCACTGGCATCACAGCTGCTTCCAAACTTGGTGGCAACTGGAGCAGTGTCCTATGGCACAGAAGGGTACCTTCTGTATAGTTTACAGCCCTGAATGCAATTAATCTGACATAGCCCTACATAGTATTCTTGAAGGCTTTCACAGCTGGGATCCAATGGTTGTTGTGGGTTTTCCAGGCTGTTTGGCTGTGTTCTTAAGGTTTTTCTTCCTAACATTTCACCAGTCTCTGTGGCCAGCATCTTCAGAGGACAGGAGTCAGAACCCTGTCTGTGCTCTGTTGCAGTTTGTTGCATAGCTGAGCATTTATAGCTGCGGGATCAGCTTTTGTCCTTTTCAGGAGATTGGATGATTATGGAAATCCGTGTGTTTTTGTTGTGGGCGTATTGTTGTGATAAGGGGGGAGAGATGATCTGTCACTGTGATTGATGGGTGTCGCTAGCTGGTCTTTTGTGTGCACGATCACTGGTCCTTGTGGCTGGGTTGACCTTTTACAGGCTGTATTTTTCAGTGCTGGGAGCCAGGCTTTGTTGAGTTTTAGACTTTCTTCTTTTTCGTTGAAGTTCTGCTGGTATTTGTGGATTTCAATGGCTTCCCTGTGCAGTCTAACATAATGATTGCTGGCCTTGTCTAATTCAGAAGGTTGAGTCAGCACCGAACTCAACCATCTGAATTGGACCCTATAGGCAAATGGTTATTATTCCAAGAATGAAATCATAAGAGCCATCAAACGAAGAAAACAACACCAAACTGAAGACGAAAAACAGCCACCCACAAATAAAGTATTTCTGCCATACATCAAAGGAGTCATGGACCGCATGGGGAAACTTTTGAAAAAACACAACCTACGTATTCAGGCCCACCACAAAAATACAACAAATGTTACGGTCAGCAAAGGACAAACGGGACCCCCTCACCACTGCAGGAGTGTACCAGATATCTTGCAGCATCCACACCAGAATAAAAGATCATGATAGACACTGCAGACGAAAACAACCAGAAAAATTGGCTGAACATGTCCTAAAAAAAGCTGGACATGAAATTCTATTTCAAAATACTGAAGTACTGGACAGCCCCAGCAATCATTATGTTAGCCT